GTTAGCAGAAGGGGAAAAGGACAACACTCAAGGGCTGGACAAGGCTTTTTGAAGTATAATAGGAGAATTCCCAGGCCAGTTGGGCTCACATCATCATATCAATTCAGAAGCCAGGAGGCCCTGGGGAGATTCAATGCAACAGGAAGACGTCATGTCATGCAGTACATCGAATGACCAAATTCAATAAAGAGGCCCTTCTAAGACTGTAAAAAAAGAAGAAGCAAGTAACTACATGGGAAGCCAATTCGAATCACAGACTTCTCAATGAGACTTTACAAAGCAAGGAGGAGACTGGGGGCACGCCTTTCACCTTCGGAAACAAAACATGCACAGCCTATGAATATTCCCTGCAAACTAGACATATAGAAGGGGGAAAAAGACATTCTCAGGACAAGAAAGGCTCAGAGATTCACAAGACAAGACCAGGCACTACAAGAATGGTCTCAAAACAGTGTACCACGAAACACATAATAGAATCACAAATATAAAAAAAACCCAAACCCAAGATTTAAGGCCAGAGTATCTCTATGGATCAGAGAGAAATCAAAGCAACAACATCCAACCAGAACAGAATGAACGGTAGTACTACCGTTACCTTCGTTCTCTCAATAACGTGAATGCTTAACTCCCACTCAAGGACATAGGCTGGAGGATAGGATAGAAAAAACAGGCCAAGTATAGCTGTCTTCAAGGAAACACATCTAACCTGACAGGATGCATATAGAGATAAAAGTAAAAGGGTGGAGATCAGTATTCCAGGCAAGTGGAAGCCAAAAGAAGGCTGGTGTGGCAGTTCTAATTTCAGACAATTTAGTTTTTAAACCAACTAAAGTAGTGAAAGACAAAGAGGGTCATTATATAATGGTGAAGGGCACAGTTCAACAAGAAGAGATATACAATTTTAAATATATATGCACCCAACTTAGGTGCACCCAGTTTCATAAAGCAAACCTTACTGGATGTAAACAAATTGATTAATATCAATAACATAATCACTGGAGATTTCAACACCCCACTGATGGCACGAGACAGATCCTCCAATCAGAAAATTAACAAAGAAATAATGGACTTAAATAAAATTATAGAACAATTGGGTCTGACTGACATTTACAGAACATTCTACCCAAAATCAACTGAATATATGTTCTTCTCATCAGCTTATGGGACATTCTCTAAGATTGACCATATCCTAGGACACAAAGTAAACCTCAAGAAATTTTAAAAAAATAGAAATCATACCATGTATCTTCTCAGATCACTGTGGAGTAAAAGTAGAAATGAACCCTAACAGAAACTCACATTTCTACACAAAAACGTGGAAACTAAACAACCTCCTACTAAATGATTACTTCATAAATGAAGAAATCAAGACGGAAATTAAAAAATTCTATTAAGAAAATGACAATGGAGAGACAAGTTATCAAGTCCTCTGGGATACAGCTAAAGAAGTCCCAAGAGGAAAGTTTATCTCCATAAATGCCTATACCCAAAAGTCAAGAAGATCACAAATAGACAATCTAATGGAACGACTCAAAGAGCTGGAAAAAGAAGAACAGACCAGCTCCAAACCCAGCAGAAGGAGTGAAATCAATAAGATCAAATCAGAACTAAATGAAATTGAAAACAGTGAAGCTATTCAGGAGATCAACAAAACAAAAAGTTGGTTCTTTGAAAAAATATACAAAATTGACATGCCACTGGCTAAGCTAATGAAAAGCAGAAAAGAGAAATCTCTAATAAGCTCCATCAGGAACAAAAAAGGAGATATCACAACTGATCCCGAATAGATACAAGGTACAATTTATGAGTACTACAAAAATCTTTATTCACACAAACTGGAAAATGTGGAGGAAATGGACAAATTTCTAGAAACACACAACCTCCCTAGGCTCAGCCAGGAAGAAATAGATTCCCTGAAGAGACCAATCTCAACAGCTGAAATAGAAACAGCAATTAAAAATCTCCCTAAAAAGAAAAGTCCCTGTCCAGATGGTTTCACACCTGAATTTTACCACACTTACAAAGAAGAACTAGTACCTATCTTGCAGAAACTATTCCACAACATCGAGAAGAATGGCCAACAAACATATGAAAAAATGCTTATCATCTCTAATCATCAGGGAAATGCAAATCAAAACTACAATGAGATATCACTTAACTCCAGTGAGAATGGCCTTTATCAAAAAGTCTCCAAATAACAAATGCTGGCGTGGATGTGGAGAGCGAGGAACACTCCTACACTGCTGGTGGGACTGCAAACTAGTCCAACCTCTGTGAAAAGCAACATAGAGATACCTTAAAGCGATACAAGTGAATCTACCATTTGATCCAGCAATCCCATTAATGGGCATCTACCCAAAAGATCCAATGACACTCTACAAAAAAGACACCTGCACTCGTTGTTTACAGTAGCACAATTCATAATTGCAAGGCTGTGGAAACAGCCCAAGTGCCCATGAATCCAAGAATGGATTAATAAAATGTGGTATATGTATATCATGGAGTACTATTCAGCCCTAAGAAACAACGGTGATATAGCATATCTTATATTTTCCTCGTTAGAGCTGGAACCCATACTACTAACTGAAGTATCCCAAGAGTGGAAAAACAAGCACCACATATATTCACCAGCAAACTGGTATTAACTGAGCAGGTGGTAAGTGGACACATAGGTACTACAGTAATAGGGTATTGGGCAGGTGCGAGGGGACAGGGGGGAAGGCATATACATACATAATGAGTGAGATGTACACCATCTGAGGGATGGTCATTTTGGAATCTCAGACTTGTGGGCGGAGGGAGGAAAATGCATTTTTTGAAACCTTAAAATTTGTACCCCCATAATATGGCGAAATTAAAAAAAAGGAAAAAAAAAAGAAAAAAGAAAGGAAAACAAAGATAAGAACATAAATGAAGGAAATAGAAACAAACAGTGGAGAAAAGTAAAACAAGAAGATAGCTCTTTGAAATGGCCAACAATACTGATAAACTCTTAGCAAGACTGAAGAAGAAAAAAAAAACAGAACAAAAATTGTCACTATAAATAATCAGATATCACTATAGAGGCCATAGATACCATGAAAATAAAAAGAATGTTATGAATGACTTTTTGACTATAAATTTGACAACTTAGGTAACATGTACACATTTCTCAAAAGAACCACTAATTAAAGATGAAATAGAAAAAGCTTACTAGCTTCATATCTATGGAAAATTTGAATTTAATATCCAAAGCCTTTCCACAAAGTGAACTCCGTGTCCAGAGAGCTTCCTTGGTAAATTCCAGCAAACATCTAAGGAGGGAAATAAGCACTATTACATAAACTCTTTGGTAAACCAGAGTTTTACAAAGTAAGTATGATAACAATATTTGACAAAACTCATTACAAAAAAAGAAAATTATAGAACAGTATCCTTCTGGAACCTAGATATCAAAATTCTCAATTATTAAGCTGACACCAGCTATGTATATATGTCAGTTATTAATTTATTGCCTCTCAGTTCCAAAGGCATCTGTCTCTATATGCTGTAGATATAAGAATCCCTTGAAGCATTTTTCCTTTATATTAAGCACAATGTTAAGCTTTCTCAGATAAGGGCACTGGAGAGACGCTGAAAGAGGAAGAGATTTTTCTGCTGTTTCTGATACTGGTAGAGGCTCTGAGGTGTCAGTGTGAAGACATCTGGCAGAGCCAGCCCCAGCCTCTAGGCCAGGACTTGGTCCTTACAGGACCCTGCAGTCTCAGCCTGGTGACAACCTTTCCACACCTCTCTTGACGCAGTAAACCAGAACCCCATCATAGCCTTCCTTCAGCTGCCTACCTGTAGCCACTTACCTGGACTCCCTAGGCAAGTCCCTTTGTGACCCACGATACAGCCTCCTGTCTCTCATAGGTTCACACACTGAGCAGTCATTTTTTTCTGCAAAATTCTCACTTCTCACCCCCATCCCAGGCAACCCATGTTTTCTGAAGTCCTCCTGCTCTAGCAGGTACCTAGTCTTCCACTACACATTTATACCACCAGTTACTCATTGCATGCTCCCCTGTCTGCACTCCAGAGGGTGGCTTGTTGTTTGCTTAGCAATTCCAGATGAAGTCCAGCCTGGCCAAACTAGAGAGCTTCTCTGCTATCACGTAGCTGAATCACTCTTTTGTCACGATATGAACCCCTGCAAGTTTATTCTTCCCTAGATATTCTTCCTTGGCCCAATAGGGTACCATATTGATTTTTCTTATATCTTATAGTTACTATTTTACCACAGCTCAAAATACTTTATACTAAACATTTTCTGTTTAAACTACCATGTGGTATTGTCTTCTGATTGGGTTTGTTAGGATTTATCCCAGGGATGCAAGATTGATTTAACATTTGAAAACTAATGTAATTTACTGAATTATCAGAATAAAGAATTCTAATAGTTTCAAGAAAAATCACATGATTATTTCAATGATTAAGGGGGAAAAAGACTCTAAGAAAACTTGGAAGGGAAGTTACTCAAGCTGATAAAAGACATTACCAAAAAAGCTACAGCTAACATTGTACATACTGAAATATTGAATACTCTAATCTTAAGGACAAGGCAGGGATGTCTAGATATGCACTATTATTTAACATAGTACTGGAAGCTCTAGCCAGTACAGTAAAGCAAGAGAGCAAATAAATAAGCATATAGGTTTGTAAGAAAATTTAAAACTGTCTATATTTGCAGACAACATTATTGTCTATACAGAAAATCCAAAGGAATCTAAAACAAAACTTCTAAAACTAATAAATGACTATAGCAAGTTTCATGATAAAATTCTAATTTAAAAATTCAACTGAGTTTTTATAATAGCAGTAAACAATTAGAAAATAATATTAAAATGTTAATTTACAATCCCATCAAAACATAAAAATACTTAGGAATAAAATTAATAAGAGATATGTAAATTATATATCTTCTTTTTTAATTTTTAATTTTTTATATTATGGGGGTACAAATATTGTTAGAGTTACATATATTGCCCCTGCCATTCCTCCCCACGTCCTGCTCCCACCCCCCGCCTTACCAAAACATCAACCATGTCCTACTCTTCGGTGTCGCTAATCGCACCTATTTTGTAAGTGTAAATTCTTCCCCTCCTTTCCCGTCCCATTTGCCCACCATCCGATAAAAGTTTGTTTGTTTGTTTGTTCCCTTTTTTTGACCTTTGGGTTCCATTGTATATCTTAGCCTTTCCCTTGGAAGGTTTAGATGTATTCCCCCCCACACTATGCTCACCACAACCCTAAGATGTGTATCTCCTCCTCCCCCAAACCCTAGTGGGCACTATCCCCATGTGAGCATCATAGATTTAATTAGTCAGTACCAATTTGATGGCGAGTAGATGTGGAGCCAGTTTTCTTGATCTTGTGTCACCTCACTTTGGATAACGGGTTTCAGCTTAATGCAGGATAGCATAAATGGTGCTAATTCACTGTCAATTCTTAGAATTGAATAGTATTACATTCTGAGCATATAACAAATTTTAGTTATCCACTCGTGAATTGACAGACACTTGGGTTGCTTCCATGATCTTGCAATAGTGAATTGTGCTGCCATAAACATTTGGGTACAGATGTCTTTATAATAGAATGTCTTATGCTCTTTCGGGTAGATGCCCAACAATGCTATTGCTGGGTCGAATGGTATTTCTATATGTAGCTGTTTGAGGTATCTCCATATTCTTTTCCACAGAGGTTGCACTAATTTGCAGTCTCACCAGCAGTGTAGGAGTGTTCCTGTCTCTCCACATCCTCGCCAGCATTTGTTGTTTTGGGATGTCTTGATACAAGCCATTCTCACTGGTGTTAGATGGTATCTCACTGTGGTTTTGATTTGCATTTCTCTGATGATTAGAGAAGTTGAGCATGTGTTTATATGTTTGCAGACCATTATTCTGTCATCTTTGGAGAAATTTCTGTTCATTTCCATTGCCCATTTCTTGATGGGATTGTTTGATTTTTTCTTGTTTATTCTTTTAAGTTCTAGATCCTTTCTTGTTATTAGGCCTTTATCAGAAGTGTAGAGAGCAAATATTTTCTCCTACACTGTGGGTTGTCTATTTGCTCTAATGATGGTTTCCTTAGCTGTGCAGAAACTTTTTAATTTGATGAGATCCCATTTGTTTATTTTTGATGTAGCGGCGATTGCCTTGGGGCTCGTCCTTAAAAATTCTTCGCCTAGACCAATGTCTGATAGGGTTTTCCCAACGTCTTCTTCTAAGATTCTTAAGGTTTCATGTCTTACGTTTAAGTCTGTTATCCATCTTGAGTGAATTTTTGCAAGAGGTGAGAGAGATGGATCTTGTTTCAATCGTCTGCATGTAGCTAACCAGTTTTCCCAGCACCATTTATTGAAGAGGGATTCTTTTCCCCATTGTATATTTTTGTCTTCTTTATCAAATATTAGGTTGCTGTGTACTGATGGTTTCATCTCTGGTATCCCAGATCTATTCCAGATATCGATGCTTCTGTTCTTGTGCCAGTACGAGGCTGATTTAAGTATCATTGCTTTATAGTAAAGTTTGAAATCAGGAATACTGATGCCATCCAGTTTGTTCTTCTTACTTATAGCTTTGGCTATACGAGATTTTTTCTGGCTCCATGCAAAGTGCAGAATTGTTCTTTCTAGATCTGTAAAGAATGCTGGTTATATTTTGATGGGGATTGCATTAATTCTGTAGATAACTTTAGGTAAAATTGACATTTTAACGATATTGATTCTACCAATCCATGAACAAGGTAGATTTTTCCATCTGTTCAAATCATCTGCAATTTCTTTTTTTAGTGTTTCGTAGTTCTCCTTATATAAATATTTCGTATCTTTCCTTAAGTATACTCCTAGATATTTAATTTTCCTTGGGGTTATAGTATAGGGTATTGCATTTTTTATTTGAATTTCTGTTTGATGGTTCTTGGCATATATGAATGCTTCTGATTTGTGTATATTGATTTTATATCCTGAGACTTTACCAAATTTATTTATTAAGTGAAGGAGTCTCTTGGATGACTCCATGGGGTTTTCTAGGTATAATATTATATCATCAGCGAAGAGTGAGAGTTTAATCTCATCTGCCCCCACTTAGATACACTTAATACCCCTCTCTTGTCTGATTGCTATAGCTAGGACTTCGAGTACTATGTTGAATAGGAGAGGAGATAGTGGGCATCCTTGTCTGGTTCTGGATCAAAGCGGGAATGATTTCAATATTTCCCCATTTAGGATGATATTAGCAGTGGGATTGTTGTAAATGGATTTGATAAGTTTAAGGTATGAACCGTCTATGCCTATTTTGCTAAGAGTTTTTATCATAAAGGTGTGTTGGACTTTATCAATGGCTTTTTTGCATCTATTTGCCAGAATCATATGGTCTTTGTTCTTAATTTTATTTATGAAGTGAATTGCATTTATAGACTTGCGTATGTTGAACCAGCCTTGGATCCCTGGGATAAAGCCCGCCTGGTTGTGGTGAATTATTTTTTTGATGTGCTGCTGAATTCTGTTTGCTAGAATTTTATATAGGATTTTTACATCTGTATTCATGAGGGATATTTGTCTATAATTTTCATTTTTTGTTATGTCCTTTCCTGGCTTTGGTATCAAGGTGATATTGGCTTCGTAGAATGAGTTAGGAAGGATACCATCTTTCTCAATGGTGTTGAATAGTTTCTGTAGTATAAGTATGAGTTCATCTTTGTAGGTTTGGTAGAACTCTGAAGGGTAGCCATCAAGTCCGGGACTTTTACGTTTGGGGAGGTTTTTAATTACTGCTTCAATTTCTGAGCTTGAAATTGGTTTATTCAGGAGATCTGTTGCCTCCTGGGTGAATTTAGGGAGGTTGTATGTATCCAGGAATTTGTCCATTTCATCTTTGTTCTGTAGTTTTGGGGCATATAGATTTTTATCGTAATCAAATATAATGTTTTGTATTTCTGAGGTGTCTGTTGTGATCACTCCTGGCATGGATGTGGAGAGACTGGAACACAATTACACTGCTGGTGGAACTGCAAATTAGTACAACCCCTGTGGAAAGTAATTTGGAGATACCTCAAAGAGCTAAAAATAGAAATACCATTTATCCAGCAATCCCACTACTAGGCATCTATCCAAAGGAAAAAAAAGACATTCTACAATAAAGAGATCTGAACTAGAATGTTTATGACAGCACAATTCACATTTGCAAGGATGTGGGGGAAACCCAAGTGTCCAATACATGAGTGGATTAATAAAATGTGGTATATATATACCATGGAATGCTCAACTACAAAA